TCTCAGCTTTTCAGAGTAGTTCTTTTTAGCCACTCTGATCTCCTTTGTTAGTCTGTTCCTGGCCTGGTTATACAAGATTTTATCTCCACTTCTGTAAGCATCCTATGAGTCCTGGTAGGAATGCACATGTCTTCACAGAAACTGATATAAGATGTTACAGTCTCTGTGAGCTCGTCCAGATCGGTGGCTGCAGATTCAAAAACACTCCAATCAGTGAGGTCGAAACAGGCTTGTAAATCCCTTTCTGCTTCATTGGTCCATCTTTTAACAGTCCTTAAAACAGGTTTAGCTGATTTCAGTTTCTGCCTGTAGGTCGGTATAAGATGAGAGTGCTTAAAACCATGCTAACCATAAAAACATCAACAACAGGAACTCTTTTAAGTGTCCAACATAGCTGAACATTAAACATGAACAGTTTTTCCCCTTAACTTAAAAACACATAACACTTAATTTCAACATTTACTCTCCCAATTCAGTTTTTATGGAAAGCAGTGCTGGCCTGAAGGGTTGTGGGGCCCTATAGGCAAGATAATTAAATTGGGCCCCACTAGTGTAAAAACTGTCATAGAAATTTGACGAGTGAAGAGAAAGCACATAAAATGACTATTTCAGTATTTAAGTGTAAATGTGTATTAATTGTAACACATTCAGCAAACATATGTGTCACGATATGTCAGAGGGAAACGAGGAGATACACTTCCAATGGAACAGATTTTAATAACATAAACTCCAACAGGGCAGACAAAGTAGAACAGGGTAATGACAATAGACAGACACGGGGAAGGCCTCCAGGGCGGATCAGGCAGTCCAAGGAGCTATGGCGGATCGGGGAGCTCAGGGAGCCATGGCAGTGCAAGGAGCTCAGGAGGCCATGGCGGAGCAGGGAGCTCAGGGGGCCATGGCGGAGCAGGGAGCTCAGTGTACCATGGCGGATCAGGCAGTTCGGGGCGCCATGGCGGAGCAGGCAGACTAGGAGGCCATGGTGGAGCGGACAGTTCAGGAGGCCATGGAGGTGCCGGCCCTTCTGGAGGCCATGGTGGAACCTTCGTGGCCTTGTCCAGGTCCCCGGCTCGGCCATTATGGCCACGGATATATGGCCCCCCCAAAAAAATTTTCTTGGGAAAAACTAGGTCCTTCAATGCCTGGAGGGATTCTAGAGGGTGCTCTGGATGAGCGGGCTCCAGGGGGCGCTCTGGAGGAGCGGGCACTGGAGAGCGCTGTGGAGGAGCGAAGTTCTCTAACACAGAAGACGAAGGAGGGCTGGACGGGACCAGCGGAGGCGAGGGAGACGAAGGGGAGCTTTCTGGAGCAGACTCTGGAGAGAGGATAGGGGCCGAGAACTCAGGAGGAATCGCCATATCCAGGAGTTCGGGGACATGCGCTGGAGTAGACTCTGGAGGGTGCGCTGGCGCCTCTTTTTCTGGGCTTGAGACAGCGGCGGCCTGTGGGCTTGAGACAGCAGCGGCCGACGGGCTTGACTTCGGAGTGGCCGGCGGGCTTGTCTCGGGAACGGCTAGCGTTTCTGGACTGAGGACAATGGTGGAGCTCCGGAGGATACGGGGGTATTTGGGGCAGGGCAGGTGGTCTGAGCCATTGGTGCGGTATGTGGGGGTTCCTGGCGTGGGGTCAGCTGGCTAGACACGGCGTGCCTCAGAGGGAACTGGACAACGAGACTGAAACTTTTCCTTTAGTTCGTCAACTTCAAAATTTGAACTGTTTAAATAAAGAACGAGATTGATCAGCTCGATCAGGGGAAAATCACTCACGGGTAGATCGCAGCGGATCATCTCGCCGTCCAGCCCCAGCAGAAGCACGCACCAAGAGCGGCGTCGTGCCAGCTGAGCTGATTAGCAAGCTCGAGGAAATCCTCCACATACCGTTACAACCTCCGACCGGCCTGCCGCAAACCCCACAACTTGTCCTCAGCAGTCCTCAGCAGTCATCCCTTCTTTTTAGGGTCCTGTCTTCAGTCTTGGTTCGGCGTTCTGTCACGATACGTCAGAGGGAAACGAGGAGACGAGGAGATACACTTCCAATGGAACAGATTTTAATAACATAAACTCCAACAGGGCAGACAAAGTAGAACAGGGTAATGACAATAGACGCCGAACAAAGAACTCTGAACCAAACACTCCTTAAGTACACAACTTAATGAGGGGAAGACGAGACACACCTGGAATCAAATAGAACACAATCATGGAACAGGAACAACCAAATATGGGCATAAAGAAACAGGAGGCAGGAACACAGAAAAAAAACAAAAAACGTGACAATATGTAAGAAAATATTTAAATAAAAAAATAGGAGTGCAAGTGAGCTTGAGTAAATAGATACGCATGAAAGATCTGTAATTATTTAACGCAATATGCTAAATGTGCCTCAATTTTCCCTCATATGACAAGTCTGTCTGTGATCATGGGCATCATTGCATTTATAAAACAAGTACTACAGCAATAAATATTATGTATATAGCAGTTTTTTTCGGCTCCGGAAAGATACAGTTTGTTAATTTCTGTCAGGTAATCTTATGCATTTACTGAGAGAGAGAGAGAGAGAGAGAGAGAGAGAGAGAGAGAGGAAAAACTCCTCTACACTGGAGAAAACTTAGAAAGAAATATTATTATTCCTATTTTTACCCAAAATAAGGTGTTGTAAGCAGTGCACACGTAATATAATGTTTCAATCATACTGGTAGCCGGAGGGCGCCTTCGCACAGTAAATCCATAAGTGCAATATATTTTTTTCACTCAAGACACTCTGTCAATGCTTAACTTACAAGAACATTCAGTTGCAGTAGTCAAACAGCAAGAAAAATAGATGAAGGCAATCTGCTCTCCACTTCTCAATTCCTGGAAGCACAGTGAGAGTGAATTGATTTCCTCCTCCTGGTGACATCAATAGCTAATCGCCATGGGAAACTTGACAGGAAGTGGTCCTCATCCAGAGGAGGGGATCTCATTTCCCGTCCCGTTGTGGGCGCACTCGCTGCTCATCCTAAACAGTACAGAACTCTGAGTTAAACATATAAGGAGAACAGTGCTCTCTGCAGTCTTCACCTTGTTCATTTGGAACCAAGTCTTTTTAGTCATTCTGGACTGGAGTTTAACCTCAGGGTGAAGGATGAATATCTTACCTGCAACTATGTTTGGTCTTAGAGAGTGTGCTTTCTCTGAGTAAGTAATCACAGAGGATATGAGATCTCGTTTTGCATGTATGTCTTAGAATAGAAGGTATAACTTTATGTAAGCTTTACTTTTGTATCCTCAGATTCTTTGTATTTAGGGTTGAGAGTACATACGTTAAAAAGAAATTGTACCTTTAGTACCCTCAAACATGACCTTTAAGCTTTAACCTAAGGTACTAATATTATCCCACATGGGTTAAAATGGCCCAAAAATGTTCCTTAAGGTACAGTCTTTCCACATTGTTTTTCTGACAGTGTACCAGCACTGACTACACACTTTTCTTATTGCATAACTTCATGTAGGTGTTTGCCTCAATTTTTTGTTTTCGACTTCTCTCTAATAACTGTCAGACGTGCGGGGTGTTCACAGGATGCATTCTTGTGTTAAAGAACATTATTATAAGCTGCATCTGAACGGAACAGAAATGTTGAAATGTTTGTATCCTCTTAAGGCCACACGTACAGAACAAATTACTGTGTATAAACACATTGCGTGCAGGGTTGTATATTTATCTATATGTGCAAAATCCATAACTCAAAGAAGCCACAAATCATATGACCTTCCAGGAAAGCCCTAATATGGACAAAGGCATAGGTTATAGCATAGCTGAATAAAACGCAGATAGAGACCTAACTGACGAAAAATGGATACATACCTGTACGATTGCGAATAAATGGTTTATCTCTGTTCTTCAAGCTATCTCTGGTATTTTTATATGAATACAACTATATAATGCAATGATAATCAACAGCCTTTATCACTATATAAAATAATGTTTTTTCCTCATACTGTGATGTGAAACCACGTCAGATCACAAAAGGAAGTTATTTCAAACATTTGACTTATGTTATGAAATTAATTTTGAGCAAAAACATGTCATTAAATGTTCTCTTTGTTCGGCAACTGGTTTGTAAACAGGCTCAAACCCATGCAAATCCCGCGTTATACTGAGGTAAATATGATCGCACAGGCTGATTTCTTCATACGTTCGACACAGGTTATGCCTCACTGTACACAGCCCTGGTGCGTCATCAGAGGTGTGTTCGGCTTGAAGTTGCGCTCCGATCCGTGTAGGACATTAAAGTACCGCGAGAGCGATTTAAAAGCATGCAGAACTGTCTGCTCTCTATAGCTCTTGCAGTACTTTGAATGTCAAACACCGATCTGTCTGCGCAGCTGCGGGGCCCCCCCCTTAAAGGCGGGGCCCTACGCGACCGCCTGTACCGCTTGTTGGACGGGCACTGCTTATAGATACAAAAATCAAACCTGTTTTTGTGTGTGTGTGTGTGTGTGTGTGTGTGTTGTGATGCGCCAATGTCAAATGATATCCAAATAATGTTTATCTATAATTAACTATGATACTAGTTCACTGAAGCTTATAATTAGATAGAAAATAGAAATAGACAGATAAATAGTTTCACCAAAGCTCATCAAATATCAAATTAGCCTATATCTAAATGGCAATAAATTCTATTTTTGTGTATTCTATTCTTTTATAAATATGAAGCTGTTTATGTACCACAACACGAGGGTGCAGCAGTAACTAAAGAACTGCAGAACTTCACAAAATTAAAAACTATTAGGCTAAATATGAAGTTTGTCAGTAAAATTAATCAAAAGAGTAGCCTACAGACTTGTTACTGACTCGTGTTTTCTTTTGTGTTTGATCATAAAATGTTTTTCATCATTAAATGGTATAACTTTCAAAACATCTAAATGTCGCAATCAGGGCAACAGATTTGTTGGTTGCTTTCACTTCCATCCACTTTACGAGTGGACGCGTTTGAGCGCAGTTAATCGCTGTGACAAGATCTCTAAACTTCAGCTGCTCATCACATGTGCAAGATGAGAAGACACTTACTTGGAATACTTGTACTTTTGAAATATTGCATTTGCGGTGATGTGCAGGACTTTGATGGAGACATTAAGGACTTTGTAGTTGGTGACAGTAAGTTATTTGTTCTTACTGACCGTCGACTACATCAGATGAGACACGATCTATATGAGGAGAAGAGAAAAGACATCACTAGAGTTAACATTCTGGTGCCTTTTGACACCAACGGCACCCTGATAACGTGTGGGACTTTTCAAGATGGATATTGTGAAGTTCTTGATATAAATGACATTACAAACAGTATTTTCTATGAAAGTGATATACCGTTAAGGTTACGACAGAACGAGAAATCTGTTGCCTTCATAGCCGGTACGTACCTTTTGGTTGGGAAAAAGGACGACGATGCAAATCTTCAAGATACCAGGTATTCTGTTGTTAGCTTGCTGAGCACTTTACATTCTCAACCAGGTGGAATTTTCTCAAGAATATCAGAAGGATCAGAGGCCATCATTCAGAGCACAGTGAGAGATGTGGAGTTTGTTGATGGATTCCAGAGAGTTTCGCCCTCAGAATCCTATTTATTTCTCAATGCAAAGACCGACTACGAGAGCAAAGTGCTCGTCCTGAGGATGAACAGCTCTAAAGGGAAAAAGACAGACATAATCAAATCCCTACAGGCTGCAACGATACGATGCTACAGTGGTAAAGTTCGTCCAGTGCTCGTCGCCTGCACCGTTATTCCCTCAGTGAACGGTGTTATTTGGGCAGGTGTGTTCAGTGCGCAGAATCAGCAGGATCCGGAGAACAGCGTGCTGGCTCTGTACAACATCAGTAACGTTCAAGGCCGAGTGAAGGGCTTCTGCGCTTACGGTGAAAAATGTGATTCTGAGGTTGGAAATTACTTGTATACTTTTTAAACAGTATTTTGCCTTACAGAGACTTGAATAACATTTGTAATAGAATACATGTTGCATGATAAACGTAATTCACTGTATTGTTCACTAATGTTGTTTGTGTTTCAGAGTGATACTGAACTTCAGCCGCTCTCTGTGGTGTTCAAGTACAGCTCAATGTCAGCAGTGGCAGCAACGAGCATTGAATCCTGGATTGTGCTGTTCATAGGAACCAGTGATGGACAACTCATAAAGGTCTCCATCACCTCTCTCTCATACACATGTGCTTTTATTTTCACGATTCTCACTGGGTTTTTATTTTTAAGCATGCCTACCATTTCCATTTACACATATAGCCTAGATCTAAATTGTTTTTTTTTTAATTCTGCTTTTGAACTACTGCATGGTATGATTTGTATTTCTGTTTGTTTCTCTAGCTAGTGTTGAATGAGAAATTCACACCAGGCTGTACAACAGTGCTGTACAAATCTGATGATGAACGAGCAGTGCTTCCCAGAATGCACTTTGATCCAGTAGATTCCAAACATATCTACATCGCTCTGAAGAAACAGGTGAGGTTTAAAAATGTGCAATTAACAAACAATGACAATATATATAGTATATATACTACTAGTGTAGTAGAAAAATGTTGAATAATGAATAGTTTCTGTATATAACACTTTAATTATACAAAAATTACTCTTACAGTGTTCTAAAATAAATAAGTAAAATGTGATAATGCTTTTCAGAAGCAAAGGAATAGTTTGCTTTATACTTTTGATGATCCAAGACAGTGTTTTTATCCGCTAAAAAAAAAGGCAATTCTCCCAAGCCCCGCAGTTAAAGAACCACTAAATTAAACTAAAAGTTTAATAAAAGTTAAAAATAAAAGTTATTAAATCAGGCAGTATTCCTTACTATGTGTTAGATCAAATCATCATACTTGTCTCTTTCTGCTCATGTCTTTGATGTAGCTAAGAAGAGTGTCCATTGTTCAGTGTGGTAATTACAGCATTCTGAAAGACTGCAGAGCTGCTCTGGATCCTCTCTGCGGCTGGTGTCTGAACTCACTCGGGTCAGTCTGTCTTTATCACATCACACATGATATCTACTGCGGGCTGCATCTACACTAAATATGCCTAATTGTAGAAAAGCATGTTAACTTCTTATCATATAGACAAGATGAGCAGTGTGCAAACAATTCTGTAGTGATATATTGGTTGATGCTGTTTTTATCTAGATGTTCTACTCAAGATGAATGCTCAAATACTTCATGGGTGTCCATCCCAAAAAACTCTCTTCAGACACAGCTGTTTTCTTTTCAGATGACAGAGAATTCTTCTAGAAAGGTAGACATCAATATTTAAAAAAAATTTTTAATTGTCATTTGGAAAATATTTACAAGACGACTCTTTACCAACCATTGCCCTCTCTTCTACACAGATTACTCTATATCTTTCCTTGAGTCTGGAGAGCACAGGAAATCCTGCATTCACATGTGCCTTCACCACAGGAACCATGAAGCTGTGTGATGGGTCTGATCTGTCTGCAGTTTTCCCAACCTGCTCCTGTAGTTTTTCTGACCAGAAGCTCTATACTGGAGGTTGGTTCTCCTTCAAAGAAGTTGTATATGTACTAATATACAGTGCATTTATCTAGTCAGAATATGATTGTTTATAATCATAAACATTTGTTGGTAATCTGTTCAGGTTTAAAAGTCTCTGCTACTGTTACTATTGAGGATCAGAAGATCACAGAGATGATGACACTGAAGAACTGCTCCAGTATCACAGATAATTCACCAAATGCTTCTTATACACAGTGAGAAATGCATAGTCTAAAATAGTTTAAAAGACTTCTTTGAACTTTTATTTCAAAAATATAAAAAATATGAATTAAATGCAGGTGTGTGCAGTGTATCTCAGCTGGGTGTCACTGGTCCTCATCCTCCAAGCGTTGTGAATGGGCACATGGACGTGGACCACAGTTAAACATACAGGTGAGACAATGTGTAACCTACAATCCACTAATTCAGTATATGTGTATTGGGAAATAGCATACCTTCATAAATTTATATCAATTCATTGTTGATAGCTGAACAATCGTTGAGTTGACTGAAGTGAACTCAGGAAGTACATGATCTGCTCTTTCTCTACTCTTTAGGATGCATGTAAACATCTACTCTCTGAGATGGTCTACGATGTAAGTGTTAATCAATGTTTATTTATGGTGGTAATAATAATAATAATAATAATAATAATTATTATTATTATATATTAAATTATATAATATGTTGTGAAATTCATTTTAACTTCTGTTATTTTGTTTATATTCAGTTTTGTTTTGTTTTGTAACTGGGTGCAACCTTTGGTGTCCTGTAGAAGCCAAGCTTCTACATCTTATCAACACCTTAAGATGACAATGCACATTTTAATGAGTGAATCTAATGTCATACAGAACATTTTAATCATGAAATTTGCAAGAACACTGTTAATGTGGAAAAATAAGATTTGCAATGATCTGCAGAGATACTTTTAGAACAGATGAAAAACAGAAATGCATATAAATTCCTGCATGTTTTGTCATGTTTCTGAGATCTGCAGTTTAGTCTTGCTTAAACTGTTAGAGGTTTAGTAAGAGCAACCTGGTTTCTGACAGCCAGGCTTTTCTTAATATTTTTGGTGGGTTTCACTTCCATTGTTTGTAGAAATGTGTGGTATTGTGTGTCTGTGTGTGCATGCAAAAGCCACATATGCAAAAATAAGTGGGGGAATTCAAATGTAAATAAATAAATAAATAACTAGATGATTGAATGAATAAAAAATTAATGGATTATCATGTATTACTGGCTGAAGTTGTTTTAATCTCTTCATTCAGCGGTGGAAGGAAGATTCATATTCAGGGCAGCAATCTGGAATTAGTGGAGTCAGTTACTGTCCTTCCCTTTGCGCTGGAAGCACAATACAACACAAGCTTAGGGGTAAGATGTGTTTATTACGCCTGCAGTTGCTCACAGAACTTTATCTGATACATAGAGGTCAGCTATTTATAACTTCAGAGTCTTCAAACGTCCATCACCTTACTGACCACCAAGCTGTTATGATGCCTAAACATTTCAAGCAATTGAATTGAGTTTTTTATTATTTTTTATAAATTTTAAACAAAATATTACAGACTTCTAATATTTAAAATATAATTAAATATTGATTTTAATCATTTTAATATTGATTGTCAGTTAACATGAAAATAATTATCAGCTTGTCTCTGTCAGAATTTTAATATCGACTGAAGACTTTAATTGTATTCACAGCTTACATGCAGCTTTAAATGTCACATGTATTAGTGTCATATTTTCATTGTCTCTCTTTCTCAGGACATGTGGTTTCACTCACCCCCCTATGATGGCGGTGGTCAGTTTAGCTTCTTGTTGAATGTTGGGAACTCCACTGTGGACTGTGTGGATTATTTCTCCTACAAGCCTGATCCAGAATTCACTGGATTCACCACCTTACAGGTGGCCAACGATCTACAGGTGAACATTAAGGTGAGTTTAATGATACTGTGAATTTAACTTTAGTCTACTCGCTGCATTTTTGGTATGCGTGCTGGCCCCTGGTTTTAAAACTCTAAATTAACTTTTACATTTATTATCAGCATGAGAAACTCACAACTTCCAAACCATCCCACACTCTCTGTTCCTCAGAAAGTGAACGATAATTTGAATTTGAATATCAGTGAGGTGACTGTGAAGGGTGTACAGGGAGATCAGCAGTATCGGTGTGTTTTGGAGAAGATTGAGTCCAATGCCATTATCTGTACAATTAAAGGAGAATCAGGAGCCGTCCCAGCAGTGGACTCACTCACTGTAAGTATGTTTTATTTTCTTCCACATGGTAACTATAATGTTAAATCTCAATAGATTATGAGAGGGAGTAGTCCATAGTTTGACTTGATAATTGCTGCTAAATCTTAAATCTTGTCAACTTTATGAGTTATAGGACCAGGGCCGGTTCTATAGACATTAGGAGGCCCTAGGCAAAATTCATGTTGGAGGCCCCCCACCCCCAATGAAAAGCACTTGAAACAAATATGAATGATTCCTAACCTTTTTATTTATACAACATTTAATTTTACATTTTGTATATTTTTACTTATACAGTACAAAAATTTGGAAACATTACTATTTTAAATGTTTTTTAAAGAAGTCTCTTATGGCCATCATTTAGCCTGTTGGATTAAAAATACAGAAAAAAAAAACAATAATATTGTGAAATATAATTACAATTTAAAATGTAAATTTATTTCAATCTATTTTACTATATTTCTGTGATGTAAAATCAGCCATTACTCCAGTCTTCAGTGTCACATGATCCTACATAAATCATTCTAATATGCTGATTTATTATCAATGTTACAGTGCTTAATGTTTATTTTATAACCTGTGATACTTTTTTCAGGATTTTTTGATTATTAAAAATGTTTAAAAATAAAAATATAATATTTTATAATAATATAAGTCTTTACTATCACTTTTTTATCTAACACATTCTTGCTGA